GGGAGATAGGATGGGTGGGTGGGAAGGGAAGGTGCTACTCGCATAAATAAGAGAAAGAGGCAGTAATAGGTTACATGCGCACAGGGAGCAAACATACTACATGATCTTTTCAAACATCACATAGGACAAGTTGTCCATAACTAAAGGCAAAGGTAAGGGTGCATAAAGGTCATCTCAGCAGTCTCAGTCAGAGGAGGAAAATGCTTGCATGGATTGCAGGCCTATGCTTTGTCAGTCTGTCCCATCTATCCAAATCTACTTCTTGGCTAGGGCTCCCATGCTATATTTTGGCGGCCAGTTGGGGGGCATCTTCTCTCTCCCTGCCCCCTGCTTCCCCAGGTTAGAGCAGTCCTCATGCTACCTGGCACTGAAGCCACGCTGGTCCTGATGATGATTTGGAATGAGCCAACAGGTTGTCTTCAGCAGGGCAGCAAAGATGGAGACAAGGAGAAGGGGAACTGTCTGACTGTTGCTGATGGTTGCTTTCAATTGGAAAGCAGAAAAAAAGGAGGCGTCCAGTTTCATTTCACTCATTTTTCTTCATACTCAGCCAACATTATGTGTTTTCCCCCATGAAGTACTGCAAGACTATCTTCCCAGGCCAAGTGAGGGTAGAACTGAGATGCTGGTCAACTGGGACAGGCAGTGAAGACACACAAGGGTGTGGGTGCAATTCAGCTTGTTTTTTTGTTTTTTCTTGGGAGGGGAGGGGGGAGCAGGGCTCAAGGTGATTGTTTTATCCAACTCTTTGTTTAGCCCAATAAGATTCCAGCTGACAGTTATTGGTGCCATAATATCTTCATTTTCTATTCTTCCACATACCATGCAGGCACAAACACACAAGAGAAGAGCAAGCACTGGCTTTGGTGGCATATCTTTTGGGCTGTTACGGGAGGATGGAAAGTTTTAGAGGGGGCAAGGAAATGGCCAAAACAAAGGAGCAATACAAAATAATCATTGCAAAGGAGGATTCGGTCCCATCTCCTTTGTGATCCATGGGTTCCTCCACACACAGGCACTTTGCAATATGAACAAGGAAAGGACCAATTGTGGGCTCCTGAGTCCAGTGCACTGTGTAGTCAAGTCTTAAAATCTCCACGTGGAAAAGAGATGGTGGGATGCGAGATGGATAGGGTGCATTTGTGAAAGTCAATGGGAAAGCAAGCGTAGGTTGGTCTTCCAACAGGGATCAAGATTCATACATGTGCGAATTCTTGGCAGGAATCCTGCAAAACACTGAGCACAAGGAGGTCGGCCACACCGCCCCCACCTCGCCTCCCACAACATGTTTGCCAAAGGTGCCCGACCAGCCACCCTTCACCCACAGCAGGTGACAAAGAGTTGGCCATTGTGGTCTGCTGGCAATACTGGAGCAGTTTGAGGGAATGGAAGGAAAGGGAAATATTGCTTATCTCACAGCCAAGGGCGTGCACAATGAAACCCACCGGGACCGGTCGCTCCATGTCTAGAATCATCCTTATCTAGAAGGCCAAAAAAAGTTCTTTGCAAGCCAGTCAGTTGGCATGCATAGAATTGAGAAGGAGAAAGGGCGAAAAACCTTCCTCGAGGCGGGTGAGCCAGCGATAGCTGGGGTCATGATGGGCACTTCTGGGTGCGCAGTGGGTTCTGGTGGATGGATGACACTGAATGACCTCAGGGTTCGGAGGCTCTTCTGCCTGTGCTGATTCTTCGGATCCTTTCCGCTGCTGCTTCGGTCACTGTGCCCTGCTCCCTAGGGTCTGGAGAGAGTTGTATACACGGGCTGCTCCCAATGTGTGGGGCTATGGGACTGTGGCACGGAGGGCGCAGGGTCAGAGATGGCAGTGTACAGGGGACGTTGTGAGGGCCCCATATAGGAGAAGGCAGAGTATAAGCCAGAGGCTTGACTGGAATGACTATAGTAGGGTCCCGAAGGCTGGTGGTCGGGGTAGTCAAACTGGGGCCTGGAGATAGAAGGAAATGCTGAGCCATAGTGGGGGAGACTCAGGGACGTGTATGCTATCTGGGAGGTGGATGGCTGGTCAGTGTAATGACCTCCTGGGGCAGACCCCTCCGTTTTCACCTGTGCCTTGGAGTCCACCACCGATGATGTGGCAGCGGACAAGGAGACTCCATGCTGCTTGGAGATCCAGGCGGAGTGTCCACTGGCTGCAGCCAGAGCACTCCCCAGGCCATAGCCAGCAGCAGCAGCTGCTGCATAGCCCCCAACATGGCCCGGGTGGCCAGCGTGTCCATTGGGTGGCAGGTACTGGTCAAACTCATTGACATCAAAGGTCTCCATATTGGACATCACTTCATGGCTGATCTCTCCAATATCCACATTGCCAAAGTCAATGTGAGGCTTCCCCCCTTCCCCTAAGGAGCGCCCTTCCCGCTTGGTGTCTGCTTTGCCAGCCTGCAGTTCCGTCTTTGGAGTGGTCGGTGGTGTGGGAGGTCCATGGCTCTGACCTGTGTGATGGAAACCAGTTGGGAGGGGAGAGAGAGAGTGAGAGAGAGAAAGAGAGAGAGAAAATGAGTGACCCCTTCATAATATAGTCCAAGCACAGCCTTCTAGGCAACCAAATAGCCTGCTACCTAAGCAAGCTCTGCTCCCAGCACTGCACAGACCCAGGACTGTCAGGCCTTTCTCGGAGCTCACCATGCCTTGCCAAGACCTTGGTAGAGTCACAAGAGGGGAGGAGATAGCCGGCCACAGCCCAAATTGCAATTGCATGTATAAAGTCCTTAGGGTTGACTTCCTTTTGACCTGTGGGAGGGTTACACCTGTGGAGTGCAGGCGCCTGCCAACACCATGCTGGTGACAGTGGGTCAGGGCCAAGTACTAGACCCCAGGAGAAGGTCTGGCTCACACAGGAGTGCCCCACAATCTTATGGGAGGCCTTGATTCTTCAGATGGCCAGGGGAGAGGATGAGCCAGTAGTCACCTGCTTGCTTAGCTGCATAGATGGAACTAACCTGAGGAGTGTTCAGGGTGCCCATCAGACATGGGGGATCCTTCCCCAGGATGCCTGTGATCCAGGTGGGCGTTCTTATAGTGGGCCTGGATAGCTGCAGTCCCGCCGGCTTCTCCCTCAGCTTGGCCCTCACCCTCACCCTGGGTGGCCTTGCCATTCTTCCGTCGGCGTGGCTGGTACTTGTAGTCAGGGTGGTCCTTCTTGTGCTGCATCCTCAACCTCTCTGCCTCTTCGATAAAAGGCCGCTTGTCGCTTTCATTCAGTAGCCTAAAGAGCCCAGGGGTGGGAGTGAGACAGAGGGGAGGGGGCAGGTGTGTCAAAAAAATTGTAAGGCAACATGTACATGGCAAGTTAATATATAAATCAGGCCACCAGAGACCCTCCCCATTTAGGAAACACCAAAAAGCAATAGGAAGGGCAGAAGAGCAGTTAAGTGGGACTGGGAAAGCTTCATCCTCTGTGTTTGTTGTTAATTATTACGTCCTGTACCCAGTACTGAGCACTGTACCCATGCAGTGGAAAACCTGGGCGTTCCCCAGTGATGCGACTGTCTGCAGCCCAAATAAGTAGGGCTGTGCGAAACGGCACCGTTGCATTTCAACTTGCGTTTCAGTGTTTCGACGGATCAGCATTTTGTTTTGAATTTTGTTTTGATTCAAAACTGATCTTCCATTTCGTTTCGTCGAAACAGTTTTGCTGTTTCAATGCTGTTCCGATGTTTCACCCATAGGCTTTAATGGGGAAGCTCAAAACAGCCTATAACTTTGTAATTTCTGGCCTGATTTGGATGAAACTTGCAGGAATGTTAGCCGCTTCTGAGGGCATGAAGTCTGCCACATTTCAAGGAGGTATTTGCAGGGGTTTCAGGGAAACTGCACCTCAAATTCTTGAAAACAAAAAACTCATGTCACATGTATGTGTTAAGCCACAGCAGGGTCAAAACTGCAGGCTTGCTAGCCCCTGGTGAGGCCACGAAGCCTGCCAGCTTTCAAGGAGACAGTTGCAGGGGTTTCAGGGAAACTCCACCTCAAGCTGTGGCCAAGCAAAACTCGTGACATGTGTGACACTGTGTGTGTTAAGGCGCAGCAGGATGAAAGCTGCCAGCCTGCTAGCCCTTGCTGCGGCCATGAAGCCTGCCAGCTGCCAAGGAGATCGGTGCAGGGGGAGTCTGGGTTCTGGGGCCCTGCACCTCTGGCTGCTGACAGGCAAAACTCGTGACATGGGTGGGTGACTCTGTGCGTGTGTTACAGTGCACCCTCACTCAACTGACACCAAGGCAGAAAGCAGGGCAGGTCAAACAATGCTGCCTTTTATGCAATTTTTCCATCCCTCCCCCAGAGCACGGGGATTGGAAGGGACCTCAGGGAAGGATGACAGTCACTGGCCAGCTACACAGTCAATCATGAGAGCACTCCTTTCTCCCCCCACCCCCTTACTTTAGTTTCTGTTTCCCTGCAGGCAAGCGCAGCTTGAGCTTCGAAAACTTGAAACATTTTGAAAATTTCAAAATGTTTCGACTTGCCTCATTTCATTTTGAAGCTGTTTCAAAGCTCTCTGTTTCGTTTTGATTTTGTTGTTTCGAGCTCAAAAGGAGTCGAAACAGCATCAAAATGAAACTGCCGGCAAAATTTCACACAGCCCGACAAACAAGTTCCCTTCCTCCAGTTCCACATTTAATTTATCCCCTAAGGCAAGTACAATTGTACTGTGGTAACAGAGATCAAAGCAGGGCTTCACAGTTACCCATGCACATGTGTGACCACTAGGAATATCTTTCCAAAAGGAGATGGCAGATCCTCATGACTCACAATGGGCTTGGTCATGTATTTTTCTCTCTCCGAAACAAACTTCTCCCAGTTGCCCTCGTTCTGGCATTCCTGTGTTGCAGCACAACTTTCTTCCTTTGTGCCATGTGACTGGTTCTGCTCTAGCAGCATGAACAGTTGCTAGCACTGAATGGTTAAGCTACACCATGCCTCTGGTATTGGGTGCCAGCTTGCTGCCCCTCTGAGCATCATGGCTCATCCTAGGACCGAGTTAGAAAAGATGTTGCAGCAAAACCAGCTCATCTTATTTCCCCCCCTGCTTTCAATGCGCTTGCTCCCACAACCATTCCCTTCCACCTCCCCTCTCATGGGACCGGTGTGATTCCTGTAGCAAAGACTTGAGAGCCGCCGTTAGAAACAGAAATTGGATGTAGATGAGCTTTGGCTAAAAGGCACTAAGATCATTCCCTGTTTTCCTGTCAAATCAACAGCTGCTGTAGTTAAGGCAGGAACTCCAAGGAACTTGTGTCACGTGAGCAGAACCACTGCGGAGGATGTAAGGACAGAGCAGGCCCGTGGCCTAAACCATTTATTTTTACATTTGAAAATACTTAATCTGTTTCCGTGCTTCTTTTTCGAAATGCTAATGTGACTCCCCTCACCCCAATCCCCACCGCGAGCATCCTGGGTACCCGTCGGATTCCAGAATCGGTGCTAGGAGGGGTGAGGCTGGTTTTCTGGGGGCTTCAGCGATCAGGGGCTGCAGAACTCACGGAAGCAAAACAAATGACCAAAAACTGGGCTGGACTCTGGGGTTTAACCAAATACTAGAGGGGATTCTCTGTTCCCCTTGAAGCGCTAGAGCTCTCTCGTCACTAATCTCATCAAACAGGTATTGCCCTTCGCAGAGCAGAGGATCCACAAGCAAGAATGGGCCTGAACAACCGAGGAGGAGCAGGAGTCATGGTTCCAGGGTGTTGCTTGCAGAGATAGTGAAGAAATCTGTAAAATGTCTAGCAAGTACCAACTGGTTTCTAAGCACCCCTTCTCACTCCTCTGCCTCCCCAGCCCCCACCAGCCAGTAGCTAGAGGGTGTGACCTCCTCTGGAGCCTCCTAAGGTGCTGACCTAGGTTCACACCGGGCAGCTCCGAGTAGGTCATGGCCGCACACTGCATTCCACCACTGCCTTAATCCAGGAGATTAAAACAACTGAGTCCTCGGGTCCAGCACCAGCTTTCCTGCCTCCCTCTCACTGCCACACACCACACGTGCACTTCCCGAAGGGCTTTAATCCCCCATCCCAAGTCACTCCAAACATGGGCCTCCCTTAGGTCAAATCAGGCATGCTTTCAAACCCTACAACACTCGTATCCCCCATTGTCTCCAGGGAGCGAGATACTGAGCCTCGAACTCAGGCGTGGCCCTGAGAAGCACCGGTCCTTCCAGGACACCCCATCTTCACTGGCTACTGAGTGGGGGAGCAAGAAGCCAGCTTTCCATCCTGAACATACAGCACATGAATGACTAGGGAACCAGGCCTGGACTCCTCAGTGCTCCCAGCACCCTCTATCCCAGAGGACTAGGACTGGGGCTTAAAAGCACATGTCCTTGCACAGGGTGCCCCGCTAGTCCTGGGATGGGGGAGAGGCCGGCACTCCATCCAGCCAGACTTTACTTGTGGGAGCTGCCAAGAACACTGAACCAGGACTGCCAATGGAGACCAGCAACGGAGACAGAAATGGAGATTTCCAACCTCTTTTCACAGACGGGCTCCGTCTGAGAACTCCCTGTGCTGTAAGGAGCAGGAAGTGCCCCATCCCAGCTGGGTCCCCTGAGCTACACGCACCCCCAGCATCCCAAAGCATTGCAGCCATCAGGGTGGCAAAAACAAATCTGCTCCCCGCACCTTTGCCTTCTCCCTCTCTGTCTCCTGGCTGCCTCTGCCCACCCTCCCAGGATCAGAGCTCAAATCGGCTTTAGCAAAGTGAAACTGGTGTGAGCAGGCAAAGGCCAGGAGATTTGGGGGATTTAGATTTCACTTGCTTCCTGCCCCAGCAGCCCCCAATCTCTTCAGTCTATAATGCAATGGAATCTTGCACAGGCAGCGAAGGGCAGGGGTCAAGGAGCAAAGCCCATGGGCTTAAGTGGGTCTTAACAGCCCTCTCCCCACAGCGGGGAATGCTTGGCACAGACCCATGGCAGGGGGGTGGGAGAAAAGGACCCAGCAGACACCTCTATTTGGGAAGGAAGAGAGAACCTCTGACTGCCCCTTCATTATTTCCTCCCTCCTTTTGCCTGGGGGGTTGTGCTGCATGTGGGGGGGGGACCCAAGCCCACCTTCTGGCAGGGCAGGCGGCTGACTGAGTGGGCTGAGGCATGGCCTTTCCACTTCATCTGCAGTTGCTGATGAGTCAGGGTGGTGTGAGGGCCCCAGTTACCCCATGCTGATGCAGTGCACCAGCAAGGGGAGGACTGACTCGGAAGAGATGAATAGCCAGGGGGTATCACATCCCAGATCTTTCAGGCTGACCCTGTTCGCTGGGCACACAGCCCAGCTGAGGCAGGGCGTGGGGAAAGGTTCTGCTGCCATCCACATACCGAGATCCCTTCACCCCACATTCAGCTTTTTACTGTGCACTTCCACCCCATGCTCGTTTGTTTTTTGGCCTCGGAGATGGTTCCGGCTGGCATTTTGGCTACTATTCATGCCGACATTTTCAACACTCGTTATGTCAGGCTCCATTTGAGAACTGTTCCCTGTGCTGTGAGGAGCAGGAAGTGCCCCACCCCAGCTGAGGAAAGCAGCCAAGGAAAGCCTGCGGGCCTGTGCAGAAGCTTGCTGTCCTGTCTTTTCAGTGTATTTGATTCCTGATCTGTTTCTCCAGTTGTTGGTGGGGAGGAATTCCTTCTTTCTGCAATCACACACACACAGCTGTCCCAGTGCTTGGGAAAGCAGAGAGAAGTTAGTGAGCATAGAAAGCTGGCATTATCTATGGGTGCACCACTGTCCCTATGGCCATAGACAGGTCCACAAAAGCGCACACGCACTTGGATAGTTTAATAAAGTGCGCACCTGGGATGGCTCCTTGACAACAGTCCCCAAGTGCTTTCTTCTTCCCTTGCATGCCAGTGCCAGATTTGGGAAAGGAGATCTTCATCTGGGGGCAAAGGGACTCAGTACCAAAATGACTGCCCTTTCCACCACCATGGTATCCCTCCCTCATTTCCTGGGACTTGGAGATAGCTCTGCCAAAGCACCTCACTCCTGCCCTCTATCCCCCCCTGC